AAAAAAAAAAAGATTGTGCGTTCCCCGGAGAGAAAAGAAAATGTTGTGCGTCGCGTGGAATTTCGATATATCGAAGTTTGACGCGCGACGCAGCATTTGAGGTTATTCCCGTACTTTCTTGCGCGCTACGCGTAATGGTTAAAATATCGAAATTTCTCGCAGGGCACATAATTTTCCGTGAAACACTCAAATTTTCCTGTGCAGCGGAGATTTACTGTGTCGCGCGTGTATTTTCCTGTGTTGCGCACGCGTTTTAGGTTTGGTCCCTAACGGCGTTCCATACTCTAGAGGAGAGGTGTGAGTGTTGTAAATCCATAATATTTCTCTCCAGAATATTTACCAAATTTATTTGTTCCTCGAGTTGCCTTATCCGAAAAAAGCACAACAGGGGCGCGGCTAGATAGCAACAGATATGCAACAGATAGCAACAGATGTTATGATACGAATTCTGGAAGCAACATTGAAAGTTCTCAAATTTAATTGAAAATGAGAGGTGAGATTGAACCATCATCATGGCCGGCCAGCTCGTACAACGGGCCGTTAGAAGCAACCGCAACCGAAAGGCGTCTGAATCTGGAGATGTCAAATTCAAATAATAGATGTGAATATCGATGACGGGAAACTATAGCAGAAACTAGCAGCGGAGGGCTTGCCATCAAATATTGTCCATTCAAATAACGCGCCACACGAGGTACTCTCCTTCGTCATCACAATGGCCGCCGCTCTCTCTCCACCCGCCCTCTGTTACACGTAAACATGTAGACCCAATCAAATAGATCGTATTCGATACATCAAACAGGCGTTCTATCGATGCGATATATTGATATCGATTGGTTCAAAACAATAATAATAACCTCAAAACTAGAAAGTAGAAACTTCCTAACCGTTTTTCTCAGAGTTTTTCTCCAAATCTCTCAGAAGTCTTTTGGTAATTTCTAATTTATTTTTCTTTAATTCTTTCACCTTTTACGTTTTTTACTATGGCTATTAAATCTGTCATAAAGTTAAGACACATTGTCGACTTTTTCGAAGACGAGGCGATGAAGCTTGTCTCCAAAGGTGAAAACGCTTTCGAGTCCCAACATGTATCTGAAATTGTTTTCGATGGTGACGTACGGTATCTGAAGGGAAAAGTCCAAGCGAGCATGCGGCAAAAGGTGTTCTACGATGTGCAGGTGGGTTCTTTTGTGTTTATTTTTTAGAATGTATTTCTGAAAGATTGAACATTGGAGGCGTACAGGGAATCATCCTTGCATAGGTATATGAGAGCATCACATAGACCTTGATGCATTTGTAGAGGCAGTCGATACCTTGTTTTATGACCTTAAACTTGCTACTGTGAAGTTCTACAGCTCTGAAGATGCCCTTAATTTTATACTGCCAGTGTCGCAAGATTTGTCTCATACACCTAATCTGGGGTCCGCTTATTTAATAAGAAAATTGGAAAAACACTCTAATTGTTGGTGAAATACTATTAGCAACAAGAGGGTGGAAAAGTGTTGGGTTTACACAATGCTGTAGGGGAATTTATACCAGGAAAAATCCCAAATTGGAACCAGAGTTCCAAATCGGAAGTTAGGGTTTCATCAATTCTTCTCAACGCTAAGTGGATGCTGATTTTGGAGTTCCTTCTAGGCAGTTACTCTCGGCTTCAGAAACCACCAAAATCTCACTTATTACTGAAGAGAAATGTTGTCAGCATTGATCAAATTCATTTAACTGATGATGAAATCTTTCTTTTGCCTCGCCTAGTAGACCAGTAACCCTGTAGCTCTGTAACCCTCCTTCTATCCGGCAAACATCTCATTTACTTATAGCCTTATCTTCACTCTCCTCATCTTCTTTTTTCCGTATCCAATTTTATAATGTGTCCATTCCTTTTTTATCCACAACCTCTCTTATTCCTAACCTCATCCATGTATTCCTAACCATGCTCCCTCTTATCCTTCTCAGATCGACCTGAATGACAATGCAACTATCAAAAGTGCCAAATGCACTTGTATGCGAGGGCAGGTTCGGTGCCACCATATGGCAGCCGTTTTGATACATGCACACCACCATATTTCCGTCATAGACAAATCCTGTGGTTGGAAAAAAAGTAAAGAGGCTACAGAGGAAAAAGTTGTGACCATTGATGAAATGTTCACCTCCACAGAGAAGCAGAACTACAGAGCCACTGTCACCCAACCAGACGGGTTGAGAGAGAGACTGTACCACCAGCTGAGAGAGGCCTTCGGGCATCATGTGGCTTTTTGCTGGTTTTTGTCGCCAGAAGTAGCTGCTCCAGAGGAGCTGCACAATTTAGAGTCGGTCCTTAGATCAGAAGAGTTTCAGAATTGCCCCGATAAAATTAAGTTTTTGCAAGTGTGATACTCCCCGCTGCCGCTAGAGAGGAGAAGCACCGAACGGCGCACATGCGCGGTGCCGAGCGGCGATCGGGAGGGGGCCGCTAGTTGCGCTCTCGGGCAACCAGCGCGCGACCGGACTGTGGTCAGGCACATAGAGAAAAAAAAGGAGGTGTTTGCATCTTGAGGATTTGTACCCACCTACGTCATCAATGTAAACAAGGCGCTCGTTGAGGGTTATGTTGACGCTGTAAAAACGGACCATAATGTCCGATTTTTTTACTTAAATCAACTCTTTATTTAATTTCAAGCACTTTTTATAGAATGACTTTTTCCCTTAAATTACACCATTTCCAAGAAAATCGACAGGATAAAAACGTCGCTGTACCCAATGACGTCATCAAAGCTATAGATACTCTATGAAAAATTCCAAGATGCCCGAAATGCAAACACCTCCTTTTTTTTCTCTATGGGTCAGGCAGTCCGGTAAGGTCCTCCCGACGAGAAGGACGAGAGCGTTTTATTGAGAGAGTTTATTTGATGCTCGGTTGTTTTAAGTGAAGCTAAATTTCACATTCTTCTTTCTTCATCCTTCATCGTCCCCATCAATCATTTTAGGCAGCCCTCGCTCAAATCCACGAAGCTACGAACGGCGCTGAAAAGTGCCGGTGCGGAGCTCTCGGTTTTTGAGTGAGAGTTTGACGGATCAATTCATCCGCGATTGTCGTTAGACGTCGTAGGTGAATTGACCCGCCGCCACACAAGAGCGTGTGAGAGTGTGCGCTGAGCAAATTAGTATGATTGAAAGAAATACAATTGGACAATCTAAAAATTATCTATGGTTAATTACTAGGAGATTTCTGTTAACTGCCAGTTGTTTCGGTGCAGTATTAAAAGCACTACGGCTCGGCAGTTATCCGAAATCCTTGTTTAAGAGAATTTTTAGTTCGTATGATTTGAGTGGAGTGAGAGCTGTTCAGTATGGTGTTGACAATGAAGGTGAGGCAAGGTGTTTGTTTGAGGAAGCGTTCGGTGTGAAAGTGAAGTCTTGTGGCTTGTATGTGCATGAAAGTGGTTTGCTTGGTGCAAGTCCGGATGGTATTATTGATGATGATAATTTATTAGAAATTAAGTGCCCATGGAGTATGAGAGAGAGAGACGTGGAAGAAGAATTGAGGAAGAGAAATGATTACATAGTAAAATACAACGGAGAGACTTTGCAGATAAATTATGATCATGAGTACTACCATCAAATTCAAGGACAGATGTTTTTGGCAAACAGAAAGTGTTGCTATGTGGTGATTTGGAGTGCGAAAGGATTTGTAAGTGTGCCTGTGAAGCGAGATGAAGCATGGGCAGCAAATGTACCCCTTTTATTAGACTTTTTTTTCACACATTTATTACCTGTTATTCTGAAAGAGATGATCTAGTCAAAAAGTTGCTGTTCCTTAAATGATGTTTCTGTTTTGTTTTTGTTCATTTCTGCTGTTCTTTTCACCTGTTATTCCTGTTATCCTGTATTCCTGTATTCCTTGTTTCACCTGTTGTTTTTTACCCATTTTTTAATGCAGCAAAAATTAATAAATCTGTCGACTGCCTCTAATATGTTCAATCTTTACGGAATACGTTTTATAAAATAAAAAAAAGAACTTACTTGTACATCCTAGAAAACTTGTTTTATACGAAACTAACTTGTTTCGAAATGTTGTTTTTGTTCATTTCTGCTGGTATTTCACCTGTTATGTCCATCTTATTTACCCATTTTGTGAAGCAGAAAGCATTAATAAAAGAGTACTTATACCTATCCATAATCTGCTGATTGCCTCTAATATGTTCAATCTTTAAGAAATACGTTTTATGAAATAAAGGAAAAAGAACTTACTTGCACATCGTAGAAAACTTTCTGGCGCATGCTTGCTTGAACTCTGCTTTTTAGGTGAAGCACATCCCCATCAAACAAAATCTCAGAAGCATGCTGCAAAGCGAACGCGTTTTCTCTTTTTGAAACAAGTTTTGTCACCTTGAAGGCAAGGAAATTTCTTTTTGTCTTTTTTCTTAAACCTCTTTTTGTCCACACTTTTTAATCTAGATTTTCTGCTAGTATACTCACTAGAACTTAGAGTCTTGAATGGTCCATCAAAGAGTTATTTGTAGAGAAGGCACTTCTCCATTGATTATTTTCAAAATCTCACTTTTTTCCTCCATTCAAAAATTTAATTTAATTTACATTAATTGGCAAAAGCCCTCTTACATGTTTGGACAGGTCAGGACATTTTCGACGATTTTCTGAAGATTTAGATTTTAAAGCTCAATTCTTCCAGAGTTTCTTAAAAAAAAAAAAAAAGAAAACAACCTATTAAAATTTAAGTCTTCCTAATGAAGCACATTTTTTTCACCTAATGCTGATAAAAGGCATCAGATTAGTCAATGATGAGGAATATCTAACTTTGAAAGTGAAATTTACCATCATATAATCACTGCAGAGTGCATGCACTCATGCAGGCAAGGTTTGTCTATGTAAAGCAATTCGGGTACTAAAAAACTGATCATAAGGTACTTATGAGAGTATTATATTTAATATAATTGAATAAATAGGTGTACCTAAGTAAAGTTACATAGGCAAGCAATCTACAAAAATTAATTTTTAATCGCAATCGTGTTTTCAGGTTCTCAACCCAAGGTTTTGCAATCAAATTATACATGTCAGGAAAACATCTTCAGAATTCTAGGTAATTTTTATTCCTCACTGTCAATGAGAGCATACGCTCCATCTAGCTCTTTAATCAGAGGGAATCTAAAGTTAGTAAGAGCTACACTAACATGCCAAATTTTGGATGCATAGAAGAAAAGAGATCGTGGAACATTTTTTAATATTCTAAAGTATTTCACTCTTAAAATAGCTCTCTCAACATGCACGCGAGCCCGTGCAATTTTCTTTCCAATTTCCACCTGACTACGTGTGAATTGAGCAGAAGATGCAAATGGTGGAATATTGCACGTCACCCCTGCTGGCAAGATATCATGGAGCAGGAATCCCTTATCTGCCAAAATCAAATCTCCAGGTTTCAGCTTTTCTAAGATACCGCAGTGTCTGACAATTTCCTTATCAGAGGTTGAACCCGGGTATAATGAACTTGCATAAATAATTACTCCATTCGGTGCAGAACCTACCAGACCTTTAAAAGTGTTGTTATGTTTATAATGGCTTTATGTTTTATTTTGTTGTGACAATTTCTTTGGAGTGTCAATGAAAACCTCCGTGCAGTCAAGGATTATTCTGCAATTGGGGAAGTCGCGGAAGCACGAGGGCATACATTTTTTTATTTTTTCCATGGAAGGAATATCTCGCATGAAATCTTCACACAGAACTTCATAGAAGACATGGATCCATGTGATCACAATGTTTGAAACTGTTGACTGACCAACATTAAACTGGCGTGCCAGGTCTATTTCGCCTAAGTTTAGTCTCAATTTCATCAGTGTCATCAGGATTTGGTCATGCCTATCAATTACTTTTACCGTCCATCCATAATAATAATTAACTTTCACATCATCAAACAATTTTAAGAAAATGTCAAGCATTTTAGAGTCGTGCATTGATGTGTAGTACTTAATCCAGTTATCATTACTTTTTATGTGGCCAACTCCAAACCGAAATTTTTGGTTTTCCATTTGCTTTCGCAAATTTTCATTTTCTTCTCGTAATTGATACATTTGATCAGGGATATCAGTTTGACTACCTTTGTTCACTTTTAAACCAGCCATGCGCGTGGAAATATTTTCAATTATATTCTCTACATTGTTTTGCGTCTCAGAAAAAGAATTACAAAGACAAGAAGAGGGGGAAGGAGTGACAGGAATGGGAGAGCATGCAGATGAAAGTAACTGTGGATTGGTGGAGGCATTGGATATTTTCAGATGTTGAGCAGTTTGAGAGGAGCTTTGGCGGATTTCATCATTAATGGCTGGAGGGAGTAGAGGTGAATCAAGAGGTTCAGCTAAAGGAAGCGCGTTCGGGTTGGTGTTCTCTTTTTGATCATTATTGAAAAGAATGCGGATAGAGGAAACTTTACGTTTGATTCCCTCTTGAGGTGTCCTGAAAATCCGGAAGAAAAACTTGTATTACATTGCAAACTAATTTTTCTCTATCGATTGTCTCAGTGTGCTATGCTTCCTTATTTCTAAATTGCTCAAAATTCGTGGAAAACTAACTTTCACTTTTTCGTTTCTTTTTAGGACAATCAAGATACTCTCAAGGATAAAAGTGGGAGAGGATTTTAATTATTTTAATATCATTCAGTCAATTAAATAATGTAAGTCTGTGTTCTGTGGTAGAAGCTTTATGTGAGAAAACAAAAAATTTGAATAAATTATAATTTGGACACTTAATTATCCTGAATTTTCCTGGACCCTTTTGCTCCAACTTGATGAGTTAGTAATGTTTCTAAAATGTATTTAAAACACTTTCCTCGTAACATAATTATTTATAATTACCTACTTGACAGTTGTGCTTAAAGAAACTGAGAAATTTGTGAATTTTGAAACTAAGAAAAGAACTTTTTAATGCAGGGAACGAGAAACCATTTTAATTCCATTTTCTGAGCACTTCAGAAGTTGTTGGAGAATATGAGAATCATACAAAATATTGATATAAATGAAGGAATTGATGCTTTTTTTCTCTATTAAGTAAGTGTGCGTTAAAATGGTCTCTTTTCCTGCCGGGATGGATATGAATTCGAAGAGTTCAATTTACATGCCTAAAATTATCAAGTTTCCTACAGTCGTTTCAAAGTCACTTTCATTAGGTACCCAGAGCTTGTGCAATTCGCAACTTTTTCTCAACGATTCATTCCTTACTGAAACTTTGCGTTCTCCTTGGAAAGTAGCTTAACAATGCATATAGACAGTGACACTCCCAAACAACGTAACTTGTTCGTGATGGTCAAAAATATCTGCACTTAATGTATTTTTTTACGAGAGAGCAAATCAACATTATCCCTTAAAGGTTTATCAACATTTCAATGGCTAAAGTGCGAAAACCAGTGCCTCTGTTTTTGACTTCGTAGACCTCCAATCGTACTTTATTTTTTCCATGGAAAACTAGTCAACGAAATTTCTGGAAAATTTCCTGGATTTTTTTTCCCTGTCAATAGAATATTCTGTATAAATTTCCACCCATGAAGTTTCAGTTTTAAAGCTATGGGTAAGAATTGACAAGGAGTAGTTCTCCAGTAAAGAAATAAAGTATTACAGTAAGTGTGCAATGGCGCAAACCGAGATACTGGGATTGGAGCCCGGATGGTTCATATAATATGGGCATAACACTGATGAAGGGCACACATCACTTAGATCGAAATGGGAGGCGTTGTCATCAATACACTGTGTAGTCGAACCATTTTCATGTATCAATCGTTGTGTACCAATGTAGCGTTTTTGCAGCGCATCGAGACATTCCATCCTTTGGCATGTTAAATCCCGTTTCAGTGCTAAGTTAAGGATTTGATCACAGTTATAGTGTAGATTCTTGAGAAAGGCAAGGTAAAGAGGAAAAGGAGGAGATAGATACCTTGCATTCTTTATAGGAATGGCAATGGAGGACAAAGGGCTTCTTTTGGATTTCTTTGAAGGAATCCTTGGACTAGGGCTGTTTCTGAACACAGGAATCGGGATTTTACTGGGTCTAGGAGGGGAAAATATTCTGTTCGGTTGCCTGAGGAAGGAAAAGAAGGGAATAAATACAGACATGGAGAAAGATAAACTATGGTATAATCTGAAAAGGTCAAGGAATGAACAACGATCTCCCTAATATTCACTCTAATTTAAAAGCCCTTTACTTACAACTCAAGAGCTGAGATGACAATCATTTCAGTATCTTCACTAAGTCATAGGAAAGCATTATTGCAGCATTAAGATGTTGTAGGTGTGAACACTTTGACTTTATGGGTAAGATGCTGACCACAATTCAAAAATTATTTATAGATTTACAGATGAGGAAAAGAAGACTGAAATTGGATGTCGAACACATCTTTCAATGAACATCTTATTGTGACATAATTTCCCTAGGATAAATTGGTACATTAGAAGAAAGGCAAAAAAAGGAGGGGTTGGCTTAGGAGAAAAAATAGGATACCTTGAAGTATTACAGGGCATGAAAGGTTCAACGAGGGTGGGTGGTTTGGTCTTATCGCCATTGGGAAAGTGACAGCTGCAGATTCGACTGTTGACCGAAGGTTCTACAGCACCAGTTCTATGGAAAAACAGAAGCAGGGAAATAAAAGTAGGTATAGAGGGCCAACATAACAAACTTTGATTGGAAGGCTCAGATTCCTCCCCTTGCTGCGGAAGGCTGCAAGGGAGAAAATATGAGGAGAGTATGTGGAATCATTGAAGGTGCAAAGGTGTTGAGAAATTTTACTGAATCAAAGAAAAGAGACAAACAATTGCATGAACGTTTTTAGTTGTGTAGGGACACAGCAATCAGGAATATCCTACCCAAGGGCCGACAGCCAAGACTTCATCAGCAGGGAATTTGGAGGAGGAAATCTGAAAAACTGGCACGACTCCCTGCCGTAAGTGTGAAAACAGTCTTGCACACTACACACAACCATTGTTTCAGGTTTAGGATTTTGTATAACACACAAAGAAAATAACAAAAAGAGGTTTTAAGGTTTTTAATTTCAAGAAGAAACAGGAAAATATACCCGAAGGGTCTAGAAGAGAGATAATGCGCTAAGTGAGGTTATGTTGATGTTTTGAACCAAACGATATATCGAACCACTATCGAATACGGTCTATTAGACGTTAACTATTTAGACCTAAACTAATTAGACGTAAAATATTTAGACGTAAATCTTTTAGACCTAAACACATTAGACGGAAAAATTCCATCAGATTGGCAGGATAAATTGCCTGAAATTTTTTAGACCTAAAAATTTCGTTTCCTCGAGAATAGAAACATTAGACGTTAAGGTGGATCTTCAGAAAAATGTTCGGCGTTCTGCCACCACGTCGCGCTAGCGGTC